TCCGGCAAGCTATGTCTTAATGTCAAATGTGCTTTCCCAACAACCTGGAAGGACAGATTCAATGTAGAATTCCTAAGACACTTTTGAGCTCCATGACAGAATGTGGCTGTGTGAGGAGAAACGGCCCCCTGCCTCTAGGCTGCCTCCCTTCTCGTCCCACCTCCCACGCCATCCATACCTGGAGAGGCCTTGTACTTAGCTTCAGGTTCATGCCTTCCCACTCCATAGATAGCTGTCCCTTCAGGTCGTCCTCTGACGTAGGAGAGAGCACCCAGGCAGAGCTGTCCAGAAGACAGACCTGTATGTGGCTCAGGGACATTTGTGCAGGTAATTCCAGGCTCTCAAACACCTGGAGTAAAGACAGGAGGTGTATGGGTTCTGGGTGGGAATGTCTCCTGGGCCCTGAAAAATCTTTGTTTCATAAGGAAGAGGAGAGTTCATGTATATGGGCCTCAGGTTGCTTATGTATTTAACTCATTCAATCCTTACAACAATCCTATGCTATTATGTCCATTTTACAGATGAGGAAACTGTGGCATAGATTAGGGAAACTGCCCAAGGCCAAAAGATTACTTAGTGGCAGAGTAAAGATTACAATTTGGTCAGTCTGGCTCCAGAGCCTTGTCTTCTGAACTGAAAGGATTTTCCTCTATCACACTATTCCCGTGACACTTTCTGTATAGCATTATTAATCCCTCCCCACAGGAGTACTCAGGAATTACCTGCTTGCTAACTCTACAGGCAGTCAATAAAGTTGTTGTTATGCACTTCATTCTTGGCCATGACCTTAGCCTTCTTCAGTAGTAAAATTAAGGTATCTCTAAGATAGTTTCCAGCTCTAGAATCCTGTGAATCTCAGGTGGAGATGATTATGATTTCCCCTTCAGTGTAAGATTGAGAAAGTAAACCTGAAGGTAACACAAAACTACTAATAATTCAGAAGAATAATTCAAAATAATAATTATTAAATTATTATTATAGGAACTTATATATCAGTGAGATTGGTGCACATCTTTAAAGTTTTGAAACACAAATTAACATCTATGGGAAACTCTCATTGCCCTTTCTAGGAAACACTGCAAAAATTGTAGAGAAGTTACATTAATTAGCCTATAGGGTCTAGTTAGGAAGAATATGTAATGACGTCAGCTTCAGTGGTCGAGATCTAACAACTAGACGTTACCCCTATTATAATCAACCTAAAACATTTAAAATGTACTGAACATATAGCATATGTTATTAGCTATATGACTAATTTTTCATATTCTCTCTTTAAGATTACAGAGCTCATGCAAGAGTTTCAATAGGGACTCTATTAGAGAGGAACACTGTGATTGAATTATTACCAGGAGCAGAAAAAAAACTATTACAAGGGCTAATGTTTAGATTAAGAAATATTTAATGATGTGTTAAAGTTATAGATATCTGAAATTGCAGTTGGTCTTCAGGTAAACTGGACTTTACATAGAGTCATAGCTAGTTACATTTCAAAGACAAACCTTCTGGGTATCTAGGAATGCATTTCAGAATGGGCCCTTTTCAAACATGGATTAAAAAGGCTTTTTCTTACTTGTCTGATCTGGTTCTTTGATGTTATCTTTATTGAATAGGGAAAATAGAGGATCTCTGTCTTCAATAAAAAATCATGGAAACTTTTCACTGATTTGATCTTCTCTGAGACTGCTGTCTACTCCAGCTCAGTAGACAGAGCCTCTTTACCCTTTGTTAAAAATGTTTGAGAAGAGATGGGGGGAATAACTTTTAAAGTTCTTTTCTCTACAAATCACCCATTCCTTTAATTCCTCACATTTTATATCTTCTAATGTGACTTGTATAGTTTACCTAAAATGTTTGATATTCCTCTAAACAACATTAACATAGGAAAAGTTCTGGGTGATAGACTAAAAATCATGAACTTTAATTTAAAAATCAATCTTTTCCTCTGTGAATAAGAAACAATTTCTGCTCTAAAAATTACTGGCATTTAAGAAATCAAAAATAAAGAAATGATTAGTGTGTATAATATACAGAAATCTACATGCAACAACCAAGTAAAATGCATCAAACTTTGTTTATTTTTAATAGCTTTATTCAGATATAATTTACATACTATCAATTCACCCATTAAAGTGTACAATTCAATGGTTTTCAGAATATTCAGACTTGAGCAATCATCATCACAATCTAATTTTAGAACATTTTTATCATTCACCCCCCAAAAGTCCTGTACCCATTAGTAATCATTCACATTTCCCCCACCTACCCATCTTCTGCTCTAGCAAACCACCAATCTACTTTCTATCTGTACTCATTTGCCTCTTCTGAACATTCTTTCTGGAAATGGAATCATACAATTTGTGGTCTTTTGTAACTGGCTTCTTTCATCTAGAATAATATTTTCAAGGTTCTATATTGTAGCTTGTATCATTTCTTCATTCCTTTTCATTGAGGAATATTTTATGATATGAATATATATATTTTACTTATCCAGTCATCAACTTACGGACATTAGGATTATTTACACTTTTGGCTATTATGAATAATGTTGCTATCAACATTCATGTACGAGTTTTTGTGTGGATGTATGTTATTTCTCTTGGGTGTATATCTAGAAATGGAATTGCAGCATCACGTGGTGACTCTTAACTTTTTGAGAAACTGCCAGATTGTTCTTCAAAGCAGCTGCATCATTTTACATCCTCACTGGCAATGTATAAGAGTCCCAATTTCTCCACATCCGCTCTGATGCTTGTAATCGTCTTTTTGATTATAGCCATTCCAGTGGGTGTGAAGTGGTATCTCACTGTGGGTTTGATTTGCATTTCCATGGTGGCTAATAATGTAGAGCATCTTTTCATGTGCTATTTTTATTTTTAAGCCTTTTACTTGGTTAAAAATGTTGTCTCCAACTCCATTAGTTGATTGCTGGTGAAAGAGTGCCTTTTTTTTTTTCAGTTCAGTGGTATCTAAAACGTGATGCTAGTGAGACCAAGGCTACAAGTTCTAGTTCTAAACAAATTGGTTAGCTTTTACAGAGAAAATTGTAGTTAAACAACTACACTCATATGCCCTAATTGTGTTCAATGATCTGGCAGGCTTTTGATATTGCCACTTAACAGGCCCTGGAAAGATCAAGCAAAGGGTATGTCCTAGTGATGACAAATATCATTTCAATAAAAGTACAATTTATCATCAACAGATATTTTTAAGGGGAATGATTTATTATTTTTTAAACTGAATTATTGTTGGTTTACAATATTATATTAGCATTCTTAGGTAAACAGATTTTCTTTATCAACTAAGGGTAATCTTCAGTTCCTCCAAGAAGACAGTAAATGCTTAAATGTTTCTCTTTAATTACTAATTGGCAGAAATAGTATAATAGTTCCCTCTAAAGTTGTCAAATAATTTTGAAATATTATTTATCTTGAAGTTAAATAATTCTGTTAGGATATGCCTCCATGGAGAGTATTCAAGATCATCTTTTTTTTTCTAGTATATACTGTACTTCTTTAATCTGCAGATTCAGTTTTTTTTTAATAAATTCCTGTTTTATTTTCTGTTCCATTTGTTGGTTTTTCCAATTTAGAAATACCAGTGACCTGTATGTTGGGTTAGCTTTGCTGTCTCAAGCATCTACCCTTTTATTCCATAGACCCATGTAAAAATGCTCTTTCAACTTACCTTTACTTATCTCAATTCTACCTTTATTTCCTATTTCCTCCATGAAGTCTTTCCTGACTTATAGCTGGAAAAGCTCCTCATATTATGAATTTTTATATAGAATTTTCTGTCTATGTAATTCATTGGCATTGTTTTATAGCATGGCATTACTGGTCATCTATAATTTTGCTTATGTCCCAAATCTTTTTCAGACCATGTTTTTTGTTGTTGTTTTTGTTTTTAAATTTGGTAGTGCCCTTATTGGCGAGTACAGTGGGACTTGACAGATTTATAGATTCCTGTTTCCTTAAAAAGAATGATGAGACCAGTTCACATCCTCTTCATTGCTGCAGGCAGCAACTGCTCATCCAAACGCTGGCAGTTCTAACCTTCTGGAGGTTTTCCTGCCATTCAGAGAGCTGTTTTTAAAACTTGAGGCAGTTGAAAAACTGAGGAAGCGATTACATTTGAGAGTACGGAAAGGGAAGGAAAGGGCATGTTCCCAATGTCCCTTTAACCGTCCTTTTGCAGTCTTTTAGTCAGTGAGATTTTGAAACCTCTTCTCACAGGTCAGCTGTGGCCCGGATTTGAAAAGAGGCTACTTCAGAACACCCTGGAATTCATAGTTCACTAAAGGCAGTTGTATAAGAAATTCCACCGGCTTATGCGTTTGAGGGGCAAGGTTAGTTGTTCGTGGTGTGAGCACCTTCCCATTCGCAAAACCTGGTTATCCTTAAATACCCAAGTCTTATGAGACAGCTCATGGGAAGGCGCTGGCTCTTAGGACAAAGTGAGACCACATCTACAGCATTTTTCTTAAACTTGGCAACACTGCACTTTAATAGGTTAGAATCTATCTGAATAAAAAGTAAAACAGAGGTAGGAAACAAACGGGCTTGCGCTGGCTATCCTACGTTAGGGATGTCGACTACAGAAGCCCTCAGGAACTGGTGCAGAAGAAATTCTCGAGGTGGGCCGTAGAAATGGTATAGCCTCTATTCCAACTCCATTGCTCCTTTTTTAAGATACACAGGCCCGCGGGCCCGCCTCAGTCACTAGGGAACTCGGGGCGCTGGCCAGGGGTCGCCCTTGGTGCGCCTTCCTCTGCTCACCGGGAGAACCGTAAGCACCGCGGCCGCGGTTAACGGCCTTTCCACGGCTCACTCTGGGTGCGCGGAATCCTGGGACTTGTGGTCCGGCCTTGCGCGCTCCCTACCGCAGCCTGAGTAGAGAGGACTACCTTTCCCAGGATGCATCAGGGGAAGGAGCAACCTGGAGGGGGCGGCCCCAGCGACCCGGGGCGTCGCTGTTTCCAAGCGCCGAGCTCTCGCCTAGTAACCCGCCGCCAAGGTTCCCGAAAGCCGCACTGTGGCCCCGCCCCCGGAGCCACGGCTGAAGGAAGAACCTGTCTCCCGCTGCGCCCCAGTGACGAAGCCCATCCTAGGGTTCGGGAGAAGGGGAGGGGAGGGAGAGCAGAGGATTTCGCTCGCTTGTGCGAGATACGGGATGTGCTGGCGGCGCCCGCTCAGAGCAGAGGTTAGAGGCGGGAGAGCCGGGATGCTCCTCAGGCGAGCTTGGATGGGGTGTGGGAGGAGCGCAGGACACCGCTACGGCGGCAGTGCGCTCGGGCCAGGGTGTCCCTGGGGGCCGTCACCCCTCGGGTCGGCTGCGACAGATGCCCAGGATATGTGTGCGCGGGGGCTCGCTGTCCCTTGTGGTTCCGCGGGCGCCCCTGCCCCACGCCGGGCTAGAGAAATGACCCCTGAACTTGTGGGACCCCACAGCTAGCGCAGACCTTCCTGGGGAGAGGTACACGATTTTGGCCACTTGTTAATTATTTAATTTCTTCTGGACCGAGAGCGTTTGTAGGTTGAGCTTTCCTGCCTCCAAGTGCACTAGGGTCTTATTTCCTCTGATTCAGAAAAACCTTTCATGACGCTTGCAATTAGAGTTGCTGATTAGTGACAGCTGCTAAGTTCTTTATGGTTTTCTCGGCCGAGAGAGAGTTCACAGAGGACATGAATTTTGAACACATACACAACTAGTTGGAGCATCTGAAAAATGACCATTGCATATTCGCCCTGGCTTAATGGGGAAGCAGCAAATGTTCTTTCAAATCATATCAGCAGCCACCAGCTAGCGGCATTTAAGGCATATTTTGTATCATTAAAAGGAAAGATCTGGAGGGAGAAAGGGAATAGTTGACAATTAAAAAAAAAACTTGGTTTAGTTTGGGGATCATTTTCTTGGACTGGGTGACATGCAAAATCTCTCTTTCTTCCTTGCTCTCGTATCCTCGATATAGATTGGCAGTTTCGGATCCAAGGATGGTGATGGCAAATCTTACCCGAGTTCCTTGTCAAATTAAAACTGCCACAGAATAAATCCCGCTGCCTGCTGCGAAGCCCCGGCGCACTGCAAACTTCAGTGAGCGAACTGGGTAATCAGTGTTTGGATATGCAGATCCCTGATTTAAAAGGCGGGGTGACCCCCCCAAGAACCTCTCCCGGGGACCGAAGCCCGCAGGTGCAGTGAGGCGTGCGCGCGCGGGTGCTGGCGCCCCCGAAGACGCCTCGCCGGGGGAGAGGGAGCCGGGGCGTCCGGCGGGGTCTGGCGGCCGCGCACGGGCGGCTTGTCTCCGGCGGCGGCGGCGGCGGATGATGGTGGCGGCCGGCGCGCTGGTCTGTGTCTGTGCGTCGCCTCGGAAATCCGCGCCCAGCGCTGCACGCTGAGCCCCTGCAGGTCCTCCGCAGCCCGAGTCTTGGCGAGGACCGACCCGGCGCGCAGGGGCCGCGGACCCGCGCGCGGGGGGGCCGGGGGGCCAGTGGGGTCGGCTTATCATGGCGGATCGGACAGCTCCCAGCTGCCAGCTCCGGCTGGAGTGGGTGTACGGGTACCGGGGTCACCAGTGCCGCAACAACCTGTACTACACCGCCGGCAAGGAGGTGGTCTACTTTGTGGCCGGGGTCGGGGTGGTTTACAACACCCGCGAGCACAGCCAAAAATTCTTCTTGGGACACAACGACGACATTATCAGGTAAGGAGGTGGCCTGGGGCGGTGGGGAAGGGTTAGGTGTGGAGGTTGGAAGGATGAGGAGAAGGATGACCAACCGGGCTTTCCTGGGGTCAGATCCGGGAGCCCCATGGAATAAAGGATTCTCTCTGGAACCGCATGGAATTACAGAAGGGTTGCTGATTCTCTAAGGCTAGGGCAGAAACAGGGTAGATGGTGCAAGTGGGGAAGGGGCGGTCTATTTTCTCTTTATTACTCCGGAAGGCTTTTAAATCTCCAAGGAGTTGAGTGTCCTGATGCTTTTTTGGTGTTCCTTCCTGCTACAAGTGGAAGGATCCTGGGTAACTATCGAAGACTTCTCCTTCCTTCCCTAACTAGGAAAATGTAGGACCAATAATCTGAACTATGGGTGTCATCTCTGGGGGGCTCCTCACAAGGTTCCTCAGCAAGCACAAAGATTGAAAAAAAATTAAAACTAAAAGAAATTTTGCTGAAGGTAATTTGCGCTCTTCATCCCAGGTGCTTTGAAATGGGAAATTTCTGCAGTGGGTGGGGAGTTTGTTCTCTAATATTTCACTTCCTAGTGTCTTAATGCCAAAAAAGCATATTTATACACTAAATGGATGCTTCCACACCATCACTGAGGTTATAAAAGGCTGACAATTGCTGGACCACAAAATCCTACCAGCCAGTCCACAGAATGACCAACATCTTAGTAGTGGATGGCCGGGACTGATTAGAAGAACAAAACTGGATGAATAGCCATTTTAGGGGTCTTCCTTATTTTGATTTTTGGCCCTATCCTCTCATCTTTGGACCAGACACATTTTCCTCCAGCCCTTGTCAGCTTCTTGTGTGCCAAAACAAGGTGTGGTCCAGATGCTGTTCACAGGGAATCCTTTTTAGCCTTCAGCAGTTAGGGAAGATTTCCATGACATGGGAGCCTCAGCCCACAGGGAAAATGACTTGCTGAGGATGGACTACAACTGACAGAGAGAATATGTGTACCTTCCAAACTTGTGTGTTCATTGACGTGGAACAACTTCCAGCACATTTCAGAATATTACCACTTGTGCTCCGTTTCCTTTCATAATGAAATAAATGAGTAAGTGGTGTAATGTGAATGGTCTTAATTTCTCTATGGGAAGAATGATTTAGAAGACAAGCCCCCCCCCCTTGTGTTGGTGTGCTTATTCTGGAGCCTTTTTTCTTCTTTCTAGAGCCCTAAAGTTGAAAATTTGTTACAGAAAGTTAAAACTTAATATTTAAAAATACAGTAAGATATATATATTTTAAAAATCTTGACTTGTAGAAGATGAAGATTTTAAGTACTAGGAGCTCCACTGTTCTCAAGATTTGGTGGGACTGACATGTAAAACTTTCTTCATGTCGCAGATGACAGAATAGCTTTCTTCTCTCCCTGATATGGTAATGGTTGTGATTGGGGCATCCTTTCTGACTTCCGTCCTGGAGATGTTGCTTCTGTAATTGCCAGACTGATTATTAAAGTCACAGGTGCAAATGATTAACAGTGACTCGTGGAAAGGTTAGGTGTTTAAAAATTAAAACTCATTATGTTTTTGCTCTTAATGCAGTGCTTTCCATTACACCATCAAAATAAGGTGTAGTCCTTTGGGGGAAGGGAGAGAGAGGCAATTAAACAGAAAATTCCCTGAGGTTAAATAATAATGTGACAATTCACTGAACTACCTTGACAATTTGAACTCCTAATCTTAATTTTTTTCTCTAAGAGGGAAAAAAAATTAAATGCACTGTTGAAACTGAAGGTAGGAAAAGGGTGGGGTTGCAGTAAACCGCTGTCATGACAGGCTGTTGGACCCGTGGGGCTGTGATATCTGGCTTCGCTGAAGAAGCACTCATTTGTAGAAAAGGCAAATGAAGTTATTCGTGTAACTGGGTTTGCAGGGAGCCTCAACTGTTGAAAAGAAAAAGAAAGATGATTTAGCTTCTGGTCTATTTACTAAGGTAATTTTATCTTTATGCTGAATAGTGACATAGTAGGAAGCCTGCCTGCAGAGAAAGGACTTTATTGTTAAATTTTCCATGATGTTTGGTTGGGTCTAAGTGTGTATAGGTGAGCAGAGTTCTTTAATGTCCATGTATGTCTTTGTGCACAGGAATAAACTTAAGTCCAACAGTTTAAAAACACAAACCACAGATCATTATACAATTGAGAGCTATAAAATTAGAGAAGATAGAATGTGCATACTGTTATTTTACTTTATCATATATATGTATATAGGTTTTTCCAGTGAAGGTAATTTTATCCTTAGTATATGGATACTAATTTCCTTCATAATTTTATTCCCAGAAACATATGAGATGTTTGAAATTAATATTGTAAAATATTGGGAATATTTGTGTATTAACTGTATATATGGAGAGGAAGTTTGTACTCTTATCTTTCTGAATTTCAGCTCATTTCTGTATATCCCAGTTATGCTACTGATTTTCTCTTTAAAATACTGAAGCTTGTCATAGGATGAGGAGGACTAAAGCTAAGGTTTTAGTGCAAAAGTGTTTCGGGTTTTTTGGAATCAGGACATGAATACTAAGACTTCTAACTCTTGATTCCATCAAATGAGATAATAGATGTAATCGTCCACTTAGCTTTTGCATTGGTTTGAAAGATATATTCATAATGCATGCATTTCCTACTGCTTTATTTACTGCGCTACTTTCTCAAGAATATTAACTAGAAAGCAGCTCAACAAATATTGATAACACACTCCATTTTAGAAAACTGTGTCATCTGTGAGAGCACGACAAACTTCAATAATAGTAATGTAGGATTTGGCAGAGCTCATTAGAGCTCAGCATATGTGCCCCCCTGATTTGACAGACTATGTGTTTAAGTCAGATTTTGTAAAATGTTGATATGTGAAGCGTAATGTGATTTATTGGATGTGGAGGCTTAGTTTTAGTCTCTTGAATGATTGCCCTGCAATACAGAGAGCAGATTAGAGGGTGCTGCCATATTTGAGTTACTGCTAACGTTGTGATGGGGCCAGTAAATGCTTCAAGCAGTGTTTGCTATGGGAGTAACACTAGGACTCAAATCGGGCTTGAAGGCCAGGACGGCAATCGAGGCAGAAAGAGTTACAACGTGGTTTCCACTGCAGGTAGCAGGCCACGACACAGAGTGGGAGCAGAGGAAAGAAAAGCTCGTGAACACATTTGCTCTCTGTCACCTTCCGTTCATTTTCACAACAACATGGTTGAGATGTCTCTCTCTACCCTGGATCCCGACAGCCCTTCTGACTGGCTCCGTCTCCATTTTCGTTTCTCTTATTTGTCAGCTCTCTGTTGCAAGGGAGGTTTTTCTGCAGTGCCATTTTAGGGGAAAGGGTGCTGACTTTTGAACCCACGAGTGAGTGGCCTGACCTCTCAGGGCCTTGGTTTTTTTTTTTTTTTTTTTGTGAAAGGGGGATAACCACACCTCAGCTGCAGAATTGGAACTATTAGAAATAATGTATGCAGATAGTTTAGCGTGGGGCCTGGTCCTTAGCTGGTGCTCAATAAATGCTCCTGGTCGTGATAGTAGTTGTACAGTATTTAATTAAAAACACACACATACACCAAAAACAAAACAGTGATTCCTCATGGCCCACAGGCTGAAGTCAAGATTTATCCCCCTCTTCCCTCTCTCCTCAAGGGCATAGTGGCAGGAGCATGGTCCTGGGTCAGACAGACCTGATTTTGAACCTAGATTTGCCACGAGTTGGGTGACTTGGGGAAATGACTAAAGCTCTGTGAGTCTCAGCTCATCAATAAAATAGCTTCTCATCCATACCATGGAGGTTTAACAGTATCTAACTTGCAGCTTGTGGAGATTACATACAAGGTGCCCCACAGCGTTTGGCAAATCGTAAGAGCTCCACGCAGGGAACCTGTTTGTATTCATGTCCTGTGTGGGCCCATCTGCTTCAGTCTCACCTCTCCCAGGAGACCTTTTACCATCCTTAGATGAAGGGGTTCCTTGCGCTCTTCAGGTTTTGCATGTTTCCTGACCAGTGCTGCTCCCTTAATATGTATCACTTATTGCCATTCTTTCAGTCTGACTATTTGTAAATGAATGTAAGATCCTTGAGGTGGAGAATAAATTTAATAAGCAGAGCCAACACTCCCTGAGTGCAGACCCAGTGCTAAATGTGTGTACTGATATATCTCTTCCACTCTCTTGACAACCTCATGATGTTGGTCTGTTTTAGACCCAGGTTACTGGTGAGGAAACTGAGGCACAGAGAGGTTAATGATTTTGATCACGGTCAGTATTTAACAGACTGTAGAATGGGAATTGGAACCCAAGGCGATCTGATTCCAAAGCCCAGAGCTATCCCTTCACTGCTTTACAGACTTCAGTTTTTCCTAGTCATTGTGGTCCCTACCACTGTGCGTTGTTTATAACCAGAACCTGGTGAGCTTGTGGCTCCTTGTAACTCTGTTTATCAATGCCATGGTTTATTCAAGAGTATTTGAAGCAGGTCACTAGAACTCTGTCTAGAAATGGAACCATGTTCAAGTCCACTTTATTAACAGCACCAGCTTTGAAGTACAATGACCTGAAACAATAAACTACTGGAGATAATTTTAAAAAATTTTTTTAAAGTCTCAGTTGTAACATGACCAAAATATCTGGTGCTGCAAGTACAATCAAACTTGTTGAGTTTGAAGAGAGGAATGTAACGGTCATGATTGGGCCTGCGGTGTTGGGTGAACAGGTTCACATGAAGGCCTGGAGATGTGATTTCATATTCTTCAGTCCCTTGAACAGTTTGAATAAGGGAAATATGGGAGAAACTATGAAGAATCAAACTCGTATTGAGTGTCTGCTCCATACCAGACACTATATATATATGCCTGCACACACACATGCACATACACATGGAAATCCCCTCACCCACAACTCTGAGTGATAGTCCTCATTTTACAGACACAGCTCAGAGAAGCAAAGAGATTTACGCAAAGTCACTCAGTGGTACCATCCACTATGCACTGGATCT